CTACTGAACTCCGAACGTGATCGCGGTCAGATACATCCAGGTGTGGACTGACATTGAATTAAAGTGAGATTCATTTACAGAGTGCAAGTGTGAGTATGGGCCTCGCCGCACCACGCACCGAATGTGCAAATGAGGATGAACCTGCCGTTACAGCGAGCCCTACTGCGGGGCCTGGGGCCAAGTCCCACTTACCCGAATGATCGATTTCTGACCGCAGATTGGGAATATCAACGACCACAAATCAAGGATAATTAAAAAAAAGAAAAAGGAAGAACACGGAAAGATGCACGCCCATAATAATTTATGCCTTGTGTGCATTTGGTGAGTGTTTCGGCGAGGACCCGTGACCGCGTTCAGGCCTGTAACAGCAGCAATTACGCCCTAATATAAGAGGAAAACTCCTAGTATGAGGGCGTGCTCACATTAGTATGCCCTGGAAAACGAAAGGAAAAACAAGGGCTTTTCCTCATGGAAAAATTTGAGGCCGGCCCCACTTGACGAAATTGTTCATTAAAAAACAAAACAAAAAATTCCATTTGTGACCGTCGCTCTCCGCAGTCTACGGTCAAATATGAGGGGAAAATGAGGGAAAATGAGGGATACGAGCAAGGGGACTTGGGGCACCGTGATCAAGGGCTTTTTAAAGAGCATAGGAACTCGAATGTCTCCGTCGAGGTGCCACTTGTCCCGTCCCAGACTCTCTCTGGCCTTAGAGTGCAAAGATCGACGGACCGGGTCGGAATGTGAGAACCCTCCTTGCAATGTGCGTGGACCTGATGGCCACTGGTCACATGTCGACATTAATTATTAATTATGCTATATTTGAGTAGAACCCATCATTTGGTATGCTGATAGAGACTCTGGATTTCGTTTTTGATTTGCTTTGTTTTGTTTTCCGAGCGCCACCACGTCTCTTGCTGGACGACTGTCCAAATGCGATTTCGTCAATAGGAGAGTGGTACTGGTGTTTTTTTTTTTTTTTTTTTTTTTTTTGAAACGAGCACATTGATTCTCATTATGTGAAGGACAATCACGGGGGCCGGCCACCCCACATAAAGACCGGAAAATCTGGGAGCATTACCCAGTGTTCGATTGGTTCATTCGGTTCCCTCGACCTACAAGAGCGAATGCTAGGCTATTTCCCTGCTTGCCTCCTATTATTATTATTATTAATTTTTCTTTTTTTTCTTTTTTTCTTTTTTTAAATTGTGGCCCGATGGACCACAGATCAGATATTAAACTGATCAGAACAGATACTACACTTGATCTTAGCCAAAAGGCCGAGAAAGGTATTATTATTATTGTTATTGTTATTATTATTATTATTATTATTATTATTATTTTCCTATCCCCATTTCCATGAACAGTTCCTCAATTCCTCTATTTCTCCCTTCCCTTCTAAGGGCACGCTCACACTAGGTACCAAATCCCCATTTCCCCCCAAAAAAAGGGTTCACGGACAGTCACACATGGTGAACATCTGCCCAAATTCTCAAAAGGGGTGACCATTTGTCAGCGGCCTGCGAAGCCGCGGGGGAAGGAAATTTGCGGTAACCTCTGGAGGTTACCGCAAATTCTCAAATCTTTTTCCGAATTCCGTGCAAAATTGGAGAAAAAATGAAACCCACGATATTAGCGACCTATCAATTGACGAAAAGGAGATTTGGGGAAATGGGCGCACGCGCGGAGCCGTCAGACACACGTGGC